CAAAAAAAAGTTGACTCAATAAGGGTTTGAACTTCAGTTTTTTGAGTTATTGCTTTGGAATAAATTGCCAGTTTTGTTAAATGCGTTAATTTGTCACTTTGTCATTTTTTGATAAATCAAGTGGGTATTAAATTACGTTTTTCAAAATCCGATTGAGTAACGAATTTCTTTTTCGTATTTTTTTAGAAATGGTGATTTGTTTTCACAATTGGCAACAATAATTAAAACTTATTGTCACATGATACCACAAACCTGGTCACGCTATATTTTTTATGTTAGATATTTTTAATTTTTATAAACCAAAGCCAACTGCTGTATATTTTTATCTACTTTAACATTTTTAAAAAATATTTTTGTTTTTTTAATTCCTTTAATTTTTTTTGCGTATTATTTTATAAGACGTAGAGTCGATTAAAAATCAAAATTTTAAGAAAAAAAAATTATTTAATCGCATAAACAAGTATTTTTTGTAAAAAATTAACAAAAAAAGTTGTTTCATTATAGACTTGAACTCAATTTTTGTGTGTTATCGCTCCAAATTTTTTTTCTAATTTTGTTCTCAGAAACTAAAAAAATATCACAAAAAAAGTTATCCCAATCCGGATTTGAACTTCAATTTTTGGGAATAAGTTATTTGTGTATTTGCGTGATACAAAACCATCTTCGGTCGCAGTGTTGCAAATAGGTGAAAAAAAAAATATCTTGATTCTTAATTTCTTTTAAATTTAATTTACTTGTATTTTCATTAATTTTGCGAGAGTTTTAATTAGAATTAGTCAGATAGAAACAGTTTTTGTTACGTAATTTTAGTCGCGTCCTCTACGCGACATTGCCTGAAACAGTTGCATCCCAGTCGGTAAAGCAGAGCTCTCCCTTCTTTTTGTCCATAAAAGTGATGTGATTGACATTTTCTATCAACAAATTTCATTCCTGATTATTGTTATTTAGTAATTACAATCTCGGAGGTAAGTTTTTCTCTTAAATTACAATCACAGAATCGTGTAAAACCGCCCCAAAATCCCTAACTTTCACTCCAAAAACCGGTGGAAATAAAAATACGCCGTAGGCTTATAGGTCATGATTTGCTATTGCAAATTTCACTTTAAAAAACGCATTTCCTTCCCTATGCCCCCCTCAAACGCGCCATTTCGCCTCGTGTGCCCCAACCATGTGACCGCCTCAAACCCCCTCAAAATCGCCCCCCTTCCTCCCGATCTAAATTTAGCATTCGCCGGGATATAACCAAAGTTGCAAATCACCGCCTCGCGTGATTATGAATTTGCTATCGTTGGTATAACCCCCCAATTTGGGTCCCCCCACGATCAGCCGTGTGTCTGTTTTTCAGTGCTGCGGTCGCAAAGCTATGCACAGTCTAACACTGGAAGGTCAGTACACGAACACGAATGGGGCTGCCAGTACGGAGAAGGTCGTCATCTTGGACGCGGGGGCCCAATACGGCAAACTCATCGATAGGAAGGTGAGGGAGTTGAATGTCGAAAGCCACATCTTGCCATTGGACACGCCGGCGTTCAATATCAAAGAAGGGGGCTATAAAGCGGTCATCATTTCCGGGGGGCCCAATTCGGTCTATGCAGAGGATGCGCCCCGATACGATGGCGATATCTTTCGGATAGGGCTGCCGGTCTTAGGTGCAAAATCAAATATTAATTCAAGACAAAATTTGCTATTTTTGAGAGTTTTAGGGATTTGCTATGGGATGCAGATGATGAATAAGGAATTTGGGGGCTCCGTTATTAGAAAAGACAGTCGCGAAGATGGACAATACAATGTCGAAGTCAACACGAAATGCATTCTTTTTAAGTAGGTTTTTTTTTCTTTTTTTGAGGAAAGTTATCAATTGAAAGGTTATCGTAAAGTCAAGGTCATGATATTTCTCTAAATTTGTTACAAAATACCCCTATTGCGATAAATTCGCAGTTGGCGACGATAACACAACTCACAATGTCATTTGTCATTTTTTGACAAGACAGAAATGTCATCAAGTGTGCATTGATATTTTCAAAACCGATTAAGTAACGAATTTTTTTTGGTTTTCAAGTATTTGTTGTCACAACGACAATTAAAATGTCAAAATCATGTGATATATTATTTATGTTAGAGCATTATTAGTATTATTTATTTTCTTATTCAACAATTTTTTATATCAAAGTATTTACTTTTTGGTTTTTAAAGTTTTTATTTAGGAAAAAGAATTTATTAGCACAGTTGGCAACAATAAACAAGATTTTTTTTGGTTTAATTGTCAAGTTGAAGGATTTTCTATCAAAAAGAATTATTATTTTGGAGCTTTCTATATTTTTGCGTTATTAGACTTTGAAAAAATATACAACGTGTTTCAGCAAAATGATCTTCATCTAGTCGCCTGTGGAATTTGCTTGTAAAATAAAAAATGCCGCTCTAAAAAATATTGAATCTAATTAATGTTAATTTATTTCGATTGACAGCTGTCAAAATTGGTTCAAAAAGAGTAGAGCGGCACAGAAAAAAATATACGTAATGAAATTCCATAAGCGACTAGATAAAAATCATTTTGAAAAACGTTATACCATATAATTGAGAATTTTTTTTTTATCAATTTATTTTGGTAAAAAATATTTTACATTTCACAGCCTTCTAGAGGATAAATTTGTACAACCACTTGTATTATTATGATTTTAAGAGAAATTTTGCAATAAATTTATAAGAAAAAAATATTGACACTACAACTATTCGTGTAATCATTTTTGTTTTTTATCAAAACAAAAATGTCACAAAATGCTATTTTAACATCAACCACGTGTTCTGTTTGACATTTCATTTGTTTCATAGCCAACTACCAAATACACGGTGATTTAAAAAAGTCGGGCAATCTCTTACTTGGTGATAGAAAATGCTAATTTCATATTTTTTTTAGACCACGTGGTCTTTAAAATATGAATATTTAAAGAAATAAAGCACAAATTGGCACATCTTGATCCATTTTGTATAATTTCAAACGTTTGTTACCATAGAAACTAATTAATTTTTAATGCGCTGTTGCCAAGTTGCCAACATTACCCAAAAAATCTTACATTTGACAAGTGACGTTAAGATTTTATTTATTTTTTAATATTCTAGATTCATGTTTTAACGTCAAAATTACCTTTCATAATTAATACTAAGTGACATCTTTCAAGAATTGTGATTTGTACAACATTTTTGTTTGCAGTTTGGAAAACAATTTGGTGGTTCTAAAAATAACGCGAGTGATTTTTAGTATTTTTGAATCACACTGTATAAAATAAAAAAATAGTTTGACATTTATCGTTAATTTGTAAAAAATCCTCTCGTAAAATTGGAATCAATCAAGTTGTCAAACGCGTCATTTTGTTTTTGTTTTAAATGACAGCTAACAAGGCCTACTGTGATTTAGTTTTTGATCAAATTTATTTTATTTTTGTTTCATAGCCAACCACCAAATACAAGCTGATTTACAAAAGTCGGTCAATCTCTTATATGGTGATAGAAAACGCTAAATTCAGGTTACTTTTATAATTTTTTTAAGTCACGTGGAAAGCACAAATTGGCAACGTTGTAATACATTTTGAGCCACTTTGTGTCTGCATTCAATAATTTCAAACGTTTGTTACTATAGAAACCAACAAATTTTTGGTGCGCTGTTGCCAACTTTAGCCAGAAAAATATTGACACTACAACTATTCGTGTAATCATTTTTTGTTTTTTATCAAAACAAAAATCTCATAAAAATGCTATTTTAACATCAACCACGTGATCTATTTCATTTGTTTCATAGCCAATTATTAAATACACGGTGATTCAAAAAAGTCGGCCAATCTCTCATATGGCGATAGAAAATGTTTATTTTTAGACCACGTGGTCTTTAAAATATGAATATTTAAAGAAATCTTGAGCCATTTTGTATAATTTCAAACGTTTGTCACCATAGAAACCATTTAATTTTTAATGCGCTGTTGCCAACATTACCCAAAAAATCTTACATTTGACAAGTGACGTTAAGATTTTATTTATTTTTTAATATTCTATTCTATAAAACACAAAATTATCGTCCATAATTGATAAAAAATTGTATAAAATTAAAAAAATAGTTTTTGTGAAATTGGCAACACTGGAAGAAACACCACTAAAATTGTTTTTTCGTTTTCAGAGGCTTGGACAAGCTCCAGACTGTTCTCCTCACCCACGGTGACGCAATCGACAAAGTCGCTGAGAATTTCCGACCGATCGCTCAAAGCTCCTCCTTTTGCGCCGGCATCTGCAACGAGAAACTCCGCCTTTACGGTCTCCAATTCCACCCCGAGGTCGACCTCACACCCAACGGCAAAACCATCCTTAAGAATTTTCTCTTTGACGTAGCCGGTCTCACTGGCACTTACACAATGACCAGTCGCGAGAAAGAATGTCTCAAATACGTAAAAAACGCCGTAGGAAACAACAAAGTCTTGTTATTGGTCAGCGGAGGCGTGGATAGTACTGTTGCGGCCGCCCTTTTACACAAAGCCCTTCGACCGGATCAAATAATCGCCATTCATATAGACAACGGTTTTATGCGAAAAAATGAAAGCGCGAAAGTGTACCAATCGTTGCTGAAAATTGGACTGAATTTGAGGGTGGTTAAGGCGGCGAGTACTTTCATGGAAGGGACGACTGTAGTACCGGTGGATAAACACGAAACTACTTTAAGAACGACCTTGACTAACATGTTGTGCAAGACGTGCGATCCTGAAGAGAAACGCAAGATAATCGGTGATGTTTTTATGCGAGTTTCGGATGAAATCATCTCTGATTTGAATTTAAAACCCGAGGAAGTTGTCTTAGCTCAAGGGACATTAAGGCCTGATTTGATTGAATCAGCGTCGGCTTTGGTTTCCACCAAAGCCGATACGATTAAAACCCATCACAATGATTCCGAACTAGTGCGAAAGTTGCGTTCGGAAGGACGTGTCGTTGAGCCTTTGAAGGACTTCCACAAGGATGAAGTCCGGGCTTTGGGACGCGATTTAGGTGTCACACCGGAATTGGTAATGCGACATCCATTTCCAGGTCCCGGATTAGCAATTCGTGTCTTGTGCGCCGAAGAGCCTTACATGGAACGCGACTTCAGCGAGACCCAAGTCCTAGTTAAGATAATCGTCGAGTTTGATCAAATGTTGCAAAAGAAACACGCCTTATTGAATAGGGTGGAAGCGGTGACCAATAATGAGGAGAGGTAAAGGTAAGAGGCGTGTCAGTGGGTGGAGTTATAGGGGCGTGGTTTTTCTAGGAATGTCTTAAGGAAGATTTCGAGTAAGCAGAAGTTGGCTGCGATGTTGTTACCGATTAGGAGTGTGGGGGTACAGGGGGATTGTCGGTCGTATAGTTACGTCGTGGGGATTTCAAGTGAGAAAGAACCCGATTGGGACGATTTGATGTTTTTGGCTTGTCTTATACCGAGGATTTGTCGAAATATTAATCGAGTTTGTTATGTGTTTGGGGGGCTGGTTAAGGAGCCCATTTTGGATATTACCATCACGTATCTGACGAGTCATGTTTTGGCGACGTTGAGACAGTGTGACGACGTTGCCACCACAGTGAGTATTTTTTTAAAATGCCCTTAAGAATGGAAGGTTAAGAAGGCGGTTTCGGGGGTAGTATTCGGGACCGCTGATACATCCTTCCTAGATTAAATTTCTGGGAGAACAGTCTTATCTTGTGGAGGCTTAAGCCGAGGCTACATCTCAGAAAACAATTTTTTTATTTTTTATATTTTTAATTTGTTTTTTCTTAGGTTTTACAGAACAGTGGTCACATGAACTCAGTGAGTCAAATGCCTGTGATTCTGCTACCTTTACACTTTGACAGGGACCAGGCATTGCGGATCCCTTCTTGTCAAAGGTCGATAGTGTTGCGACCATTTTGCACGCGTGATTTTATGACAGGAATGCCAGCCGTACCTGGAAAACAACTGCCTTTAGATGTATGTTTTTTAGTGACTTTTAGTGTTTTTTATTGCTTTTGTTTTACAGGTTGTGCAGAAAATGGTCGTAGAGATATTACAAGTCCCTGGTATTTCTCGGGTACTTTATGATTTAACATCAAAACCACCTGGCACAACAGAATGGGAATGATAATCTTATAAATTATTAATTGTGTAATTTGTTAGCATGGACAGACTATAAGACGGTTTCCTGTTTTTATTCTTTAAAAAAAAATATTATATATGGTTGTTGAGAAAAATAAGGCGACTGTGTTTTGTTACGACTTTATTTTTTAATTACACTTGGCTCAAAAAAAACTATGATTTGTATACGTTGATTGTGCACCTTTTTTCAGACAAATAACGGAATTATATTGTTATTGCGAAATATGCTATTTTTTATTATTAAAGTGGCAACTTGCACTTTGTATATTTAACTTATTTTTACTTTCCATTGTGTTAATAAAAGTCAATTCTATTAAATGAGCAGTGTTTTAATGGCACTCTCGACGCACATAAGCTTGGACTATCAAACATTTAAAAAACAAATCATTTTAGTTTTAATTTTTTTGCTAATATATTACAGAAACCTGTAATCTGTGAATTTTACTGTTTTGACAACTAATAACAACCTAACACTTTAGAATTATTTGATCGACTAAACCACTACCAAAGTGTATTATCTCAAGTGTTATCAGTGATAAGTCACTCAAATAAGGCCAAAATCACATCATGTGACAATTTCCCAAAAATAAAAATCCCTACTGTCATCTGTCATTCTAATGTCACAAACTGGGCGACGTCGGCGGTTCTAAACCTTTAATTTGTTTCTAATTAATTACTTTTCTTCGTTTTTGTGTTATTTTCCGTGATGGTAAGTCAACATTAGTCATATTTTCACTTAATTGTCCCTTTTCCAAGGGGGAACAACAATTCGACTGTGCCCTCGACTTGATGCGCCGTCTACCGCCCCAAGAAATCGAGAAAAACCTCGGCGATTTGATCGATTTAGTGCCCCATTTATGCGAAGACTTGTTGTCTTCAGTCGACCAACCATTGAAAATCTCCAGAGATAAAGAGACAGGCCGCGATTATTTACTATGTGATTATAATAGAGACGGGGACTCGTATCGGTCCCCCTGGTCCAACACCTACTACCCCCCTTTGGACGACGGCTCCATGCCTTCGGAACGACTACGCAAACTCGAAATCGACGCCAATGACGCCTTTGACCAGTACAGGGAAATGTACTTTGAAGGGGGCGTCTCCTCGGTGTATTTCTGGGACTTGGAACACGGGTTTGCCGGTAGGCCTACGCCCTTTTTGTTTATTTTAAAACCCGAACGTGTTTTTAAGGGGTGATTTTGATTAAGAAAACTGGCGATGGAAGTAAAAAAATTAAGGGTTGTTGGGACTCAATTCACGTGGTGGAAGTCCAAGAGAAGAGCTCGGGGAGGACTTCGCACTACAAAATGACTTCGACTGCCATGCTGTGGCTTCAGACAAACAAGCCAGGCTCAGGAACGATGAATTTAGGGGGGAGTTTGACGAGACAAGTGAGTGAGTCACAAAATGGGGGGTTAAATTGATAAGTGGGTTTTAGATCGAGCAAGATGCCCCCGTGAATGAAGCCAACCCCCATATTGCCAATATTGGACGAATGGTTGAAGACATGGAGAACAAAATCAGGAATACTTTGAGTGAAATATATTTCAGTAAAACTAAAGATATTGTTAATAGTTTACGTTCAGTGCAACCATTGTCTGAAAGTATGCAACAACAAGCGCTGAAACAGGACTTGGCGGCTGCCTTGCAACGCAGACAGAACAAATCTGATAATTGATACCACGATTGTGACATTTATCAAGAAAATTGATTTTTTTATGATTTTGTACATGCACGTAAGATTATTTATTAATTATTAATTGTTCAAATTCGCTTCATTGGCTGTCACCCCACTGTGGGGGCCCCCTATTGTTCATTCAATTAGAACAATTTTTCAAATAAATTTTTTTCTTTAAAATCTAATTGATTAAACAATACCTGTCTTTGCTAGTTTCGTTTAATTCAAACTGGTATAACAACTTCTTTTGCAACGAGAGTTAAAAGTTGCTCATTACTCAACCCCACATTTTTAATGTCTTTTGAAATCGAACACCACAACTCTCCATGATGGGGCTCCGCCGCTAAACACCTCTGTTTCACATCATCTTGTTGTTCGATAGTACCATGAAGTTGCTCAAATCGGTACCAATAAGCCCATGCGTCCCCAAAATCCGAATCAATTTTAATCGTCCTTTGGAACCATTCCCGACATTTCCCGATTTTACGCTCCGACCAGAATAATTTGCTCACAGCGAGGAGGACATGGGGGTCATGTTCGCACTTCTTGAGCGCGTCCACCTAGACAAGCATTAGTTATTTGAATTTTGTAGGGGTGATGATACTTACTGAGCGTGTCTTTCGTTGTGGTCTTGCTTCCATGAAAATTGATTCGGCCCATAGTGGCCCCGAAGTGGGGCATTCTTGAAGTGCTTTAGCCATCATTGCGTTTGCGATGTCTTTCATACCGGCTCGGATCTCGATTCGGATTGCCTCGAGCCACAATTGGTCGTTTTTGGGGTTCTTCAAGCGGGCTTTTTCCAACATTGAGCGCGCTTTTATCAACAAACCACGTTTCTCCTCGAGGCGTGACAGCAAAATCCACAACGGGATCGAATTCGGGCATTTTTTGATCTATTAAAAAGAAAAGTGAGGTTAGATTTTCACCAAATTCACTAATTTTGTGTCAACAAAACGAAATTAAATGAGCGCAAAGACAAATTCAATTATTTTCAAGTAAATGCTATCCAAAAAACACACTTAAAAAAGTGAGGTTATGGCAAAAATTGACTAAATTCACCTAAATTCACTGATTTTGTGTAAAAAACAAAATTAAATAAATTAAATGAACGCAAACATAAATTCAAACATTTTCAAGTAAAAACTACCAAAAAACACACTTACAAAAAAAGTGAGGTTATGGCAAAATTGAGATTAGATTTTGACTAAATTCACACAAATTCACAAATTTTATGTAAACAAAACCGAATTTAATAAATTAAATGAGCCCGAACACAAATTCAATCATTTTCAAGTAAATACTACCAAAAAACACACTTACAAAAAAGTGCGGTTATGGCAAAATTGAGATAGATTTTGACTAAATTCACACAAATTCACTAATATTGTGTAAACAAAAATAAATTTAATTAATTAAATGTGCACAAACACAAATTCAATCATTTTCAAGAAAATACTGACGACAAACGCAATTGAAAAAAGGGAGGTTATGGCAAAAATTGACTAAATTCAACCAAATTCACTAATTTTGTGTATAAAAACGAAATTTAATAAATTAAATAAACGCAAACACCAATTCAATCATTTTCAAGTAAATACTACCAAAAAACACAATTAAAATAAAAGTGAGGTTATGGCAAAGGAATGTTAAATTTTGAGTAAATTCACTAATTTTTTGTGTAAACAAAACAAAATTTAATTAATTAAATGAAGGCAAACACAAATTCAATCATTTTCAAGGAAATACAGCCGAAAAACAATAGAAAAAAAGTGAGGTTAGATTTCGATCTTAAAATGGTGAAAAACGGCCTTACCGCCCCATAATACACATCGAAGGCCTTGGACATCTCCCCCTCCTGTTCGTGTATCTGCCCCTTCATCATCCACAACTTGGCAAAATCGGGGAACACCTTCAAAGCCTCATCTAACAATTCTTGTGCCGCTTTTAGATCATTTAATGTCCATTCCAGTTTTGCACTTTTCATCATAACCCTTGGCGTGGGGGCTGAACCTCTCGCTTTGGCTAATAACCTCCTTGCTCTCTCATATTCGCGATTTTCTGACTCTAATTTAACAGCCGCAAGCCAAATCTCTTCACTATTGGGGTTCGCCTGAAAGGCTAGTGCGAGAATACCTCTCGCTGCTGGTACATCACCCGCCAACCACTTGCTTTTAGCCCCCATAAGCCACAAAATCTCGCTTTTGGGACAATGTGCAACAGCACGTTGAAGCAAACCTTCGAGACTTTCACGCGTTCCATGGTTCTTTTCCAAATGGGCGGCACGCAACCATATTGATTTTTTGCCAGGGAAGGTGGCGAGGGCGTGGTTGTAGACAGTGCGGGCACACTCGTAAGCCCCCTGACTCACACACTAAAAAAAAAAACAGTCAAAAAAACAAATTTCGGTTTGTCGTCTCACATTTTCGGCGTCTTCAATCCAGGTGTGTTTCTGGTCCTCGGGCTCCACCCCATACCCAATAATTGCTTTAACTATAGCACGACAACAGTGCACATGGCCCCCTTTCTCACTCTCTATAGCTTCTTTAAACCAATGTTCGCGATTTATCTCAACACCGTTTGAACTCAATGATGTTATAGCTCTTTCGATGATTTTCTCCACCATTGCATGATTACCATTAGCTTCTTCGAGTTTTGCAGCAGTTGTCCAAATTTGTTTATCAGTTGGGATATTTTCTCGTGCTTTGTTTAAGACTTTTCGGGCATTTTCGTAGGTTTCGAGTCGGGCGAGGGCTAACCAGAGTTCAACAGCTGTGGGACAACATTCTACAGCTCTGGAGAGGAGAATTCGGGCGTCTTCGGGATTTTCTAATTCCACGGCGGCTTTCCAGAGACGCACCGAATTGGGGATGTGTTCCAAGGCTTTGCGGTAGACGCGACGTTTGGCTTTTGTTTCCACTTCCACATCCGCTGCCTGGGAATTACAAAAACAGTTATGAAATCAAAAAAAAAAGAAAGAATACAGCAAAAAATAGTTATTTATGTTACAAGGCTGTGAACTCGCGCCCCAGAGAAAAATGCCATATAAGCTAAGATACCAGGAACATGGAAAAATTGTTAAAAAAATTTTATCTATAAAAATTTCGAAGTTATGAGGGTTTAAAGTTTGCACTTTGACTCTATTTATTTCAGTTGGAAAAATAATTTTCCAAGTTTTTTTGCTGTATCCTAAATTGTGACTCTCTTCAATGTTATTTGTGGCTTTTATTGGCAAAATTTTGTCCTTTTACTAAATACATAATTGTAAAAAAACATCTACAGTATCCTTCAATAAATATAAAAAAATGTCAAATGTCAAAAAATAAATGTCAAATTTTTTTGACAGATTTTTTCATGCTCCTTACTTGAAAATTTTCTCTGGGGCGCGAGTTCTGACACACCCTGTATAATTAATTAGAATTAATATAAATAATCATTCGAATAAAAAAAAGATAGTTCACGGCCATGTGGCATACAAAATTTTGTGTGCAACTGTGAAAAATTACCAAAATTAAAGTTTCGATCGAATCTTTACATAAAATTAAATTTTATTAGTGTGCTCTGGTATGGTAACTAGGGCTTGCGTTACGTTCGAATTATCTAATAAAAGCTAATTTCATACAAGATGATGACCCGAAAAAAAAGTCTTTTTTTTACGTTGTCAAGGCTTTATTTTACTATCAACAAATGTGCTATTTCACGACTCAAAATCAAACAAAAAAAGTGACGTTTTTTTTGACAGTCGCACAAAAAATAATTTTGAATATTAAGAAATTAATACGAGAAATAAGAGTGACGAGGAAAATACTGGAAAAAATGAAAAATATTTAATGAAACGTGGCCGAAAATTTCAAATAACTGAGAAAAAATCTCCAAAAATTTAAGAAAATCGAGATTTTTGTGCATAAAATGTGGTTGTAATAGTCTCATATAAAAGTGCACAAAATGATGCAAACAACAAATTTTTACTTTTTTTTATTTTGGAGTTACTGACAGTAATCAAGAATCGGCTAAAATTTGGAAAAAAAAATCAACTTTAAAATTGATCCAAATAAAGTTTTTACATTCCAAGAGGTCTTAAAGACTGAAAAAAGTGCATAAAACGCTATTAGGTCAAGTTTAAAAATTTCGAATTTTTTGAGTTTTTGAAGATGAGCGGTAGTAAAATCGTAAAAATAGTCAATTTACGTCGTAAAAACACTATCCCATTATGACCAAAAAATCATTTTTTTTTATTTTTACGAAAAACTAGTACTATACAGGATGCGCCAGAACTCGCGCCCGAGAGAAAAATCCCATATAAGGTAAGATACTTACCAGGAACATGGAACAAATGTTAAAAAAAATTTATCTATAAAAATTTCGAAGTTATGAGTGTTTAAAGTTTGCACTTTGACTCTATTTTTTTCTGTTGGAAAAATAATTTTCCAAGTTTTTTTGCTATAGGTTATTAAAAGAGGAAACAATGAAGCTGTATCCTAAATTGTAATTCTGTTCAATGTTATTTGTGGCTTTTGTTGGCAAAATTTTTGTCCCTTTATTAAATAATAGTAAAAAAACATATACCAGATCATCAGTATCATTAAATAGACATAAAAAGATGTCAAATGTCAAAAATAAATGTCAAAATTTTTTGACAGATAGAATTTTTTAAACGTTTTTTTCATGTTCCTGATATCCTACCTTACTTGCAAATTTTCTCTGGGGCGCGAGTTCTGGTGCATCCTGTATATCGATTGACGCCAAAGCCGTAAAAAATTTTGATTTTTTAAACGCCGATTACGGCGAAACTAGAGGAGATTGCACAAAATGCTTGGCAAATTCGTAATCAGCGCGTCAAAATCTATCAAAAAAGATAGGTTTAAATTGAAATTGAATTGAAATGATGTTCAAACACACTAATAAATTCTTACTTTTTTTATTTTGTAAATTGCGGCAAAACTGTGTCTCAATGGTATAATATTTTGACGTAAACCTATGTAAAATGTTCCGGGGAATCGATTGGCGTCAAGAAAACTGTAAAATTCTTACTAGTTTTGAAGTTATAAGCGGATTTATATTTTTGATATTTTTGACTTTATCAGTAATTTTCTCGATAACTATTCATCGTAGAGCACTGAACTTTTTAATATATGATAGAAAATTAAATTAGATTATCTCCAATAAGTCCGGAGTTATTGCCATTATAGTCCGGTCAAAATAAACATTTTAAATAACTAAAATTCCGACAGAGCTAAATTTTGGTGGAGATATTGAGTACACCATTAGGAATAAAGTGTCAAAAGTCCCCATCGATCCCATGTGTGCTAAAAAAGTTATTCGGGGTCAAAGGTCTAAATTTGACGTTTTTTAGATTTTTTTCGAAAACGGTAAGTTTTATCAAAAAAGTAGCCCAGTCAAAAAATATAGATCTTGAAATTATCTACAAAATGGTCCTTATACTTTTTT